GAGGTAACCATATGCATTTAAAGTAATATGGGACGGGGTTATGAAGAGAAATTTTCTTAGAAATAAGGACTTTATGTGCATTTTATACATATATGGTATGTATATGCATTACACATACATGTACATGTATGTACATGTGTATGTATATATACTATAGATATTAAAATATAATTTAATATTCTGAATCCACTGCCATTGGACTTAAAGAACATAACCTGTGTGAGCTGGACATGCTCTCGGTCAGTAGAGAGCCATTCTGAACACACTGAAGGAGGGAGACCCATGGATCGCTGTCCCATAAGAAGACGCCTCAGGCAGACAAAACACCTGCCTCAAGGGACTTCTCTTTAGAGTTGTTTTCTGGGGATAAATATAAACTCAAAACCACATGAAGTGATATGTACTACTCATGGGAGAGGGGGGAAAAGATACAGAGAATTCTTAGATTTGGTTACGGGTTTTAAATTATGTGCCAAGAACAGACCTAGCAGACTTATTTGTGTCTATGAAGCCAGATTGTACCAATTCTAGCCAAGATTTCTCTAGAAATGAGAGAGAACCTACACACTAAGGTAAACTTTCAATAGTAGATTGCGTATATGGCTACAGACTGCTTTTAAAAGAATTCTGGAATCTAGAAAGTTCAAACTGTTTTCATTTTGTCACCAGTGCTAGACTTAATGGCTTCTTCTCAAGAGTGAACTTTCCACCCATCTCCTGTGTGTGCATGGGCTAAGGAAAAGTTTGTCCAAGGCTGGGCACTTCCTTGGTCAAATATCAAAAGTTTTTTTAAAGAATGCATTTCGGGATGCCTGGGTAGATCAGCGGGTGGAATGTCTGCCTTCAGCTCGGGTCATGATCCCGGAGTCCTGGGATCAAGTCCCACATCATGCTCCCTGCTCAGTGGGTAGCCTGCTTCTCCCTCTCTTCCCTATTCCTGTCCTCTCTCACTATCTCTGTCTCTCTCCTTCAATAAACCAATTTAAAAAATATATATATATTTTTTAAAGATTTTATTTATTTATTTGACAGAGAGAGATCACAAGTAGACGGAGAGGCAGGCAGAGAGAAAAAGAGAAAGAGACAGGGAAGCAGGCTCCCTGCCAAGCAGAGAGCCCGATGCGGGACTTGATCCCAGGACCCGGAGATCATGAGCTGAGCCGAAGGCAGCGGCTTAACCCACTGAGCCACCCAGGCGCCCCTTAAAAAAAAAATCTTTAAAAAAAAAAACCCAAATCAATTTATTTATAGTTCATGTACTTTAGACAAGCTATCCTTAATCTTATCTATTAAAATTTCCCTGTTTAATTATTATGGAAATGTCAATATTCATTTTATAGTGTAAAGGCTTTAAATTATATTTAATGTTTATTAACTCTGAAACTCTTGAGGAAAACCACAGAATTTCTCTTGTTGTATATAAAATGGTATCATGCTTCAGAAGTCTGTTAGTTCATGCAGGTTCACATTCAAAGCCAGTCTAAGTGCAAGAAAGGACCATGATTTGAAAGGCAAAAGAAAAGTCTGATAAAATGCATGCTTGAAACTTTTAAGCACAAGCTTGGATTTCTTGTGGGATTTTATCTTATGAAGAATCTACAATAGGTTAAATTCTTAAAACTGATGAAAACTATTTAAATAACACTGATAATCAAGCTCTTTTCTCCCCATCCTTTTTTTCAAAGATATTATTTATTTTAAAGACTTTATTCATTTTTTATATAAATATTTATTTATTTGTTTGTTTGTTATTTTATTTAGAGAGAGAAAACTCACAAGTGGGGGGGAGAGGCTGAGGGGGAAGGAAAAAGCAGGCTCCCCAGTGAGCAGGAAGCCAGACCGGGCTCTATCCCAGGACCCTGAGATCATGACCTGAGTCAAGGACAGATGTTTAACCAACTGAGACACCCAGGCACCCCATCCCCATCCTTTTAACAAAGGTTTTATTTAACTATTTGACAGAGAGAGAGAGAGCGCGCAAGTAGGGCAAGCAGCAGGCAGAGGGAGAGGGAAAAGCAGACTCCACTCTGCGTGGGGGACCCTGATGTGGGGCTCATTCCCAGGACCCTGGAATCACGACCTGAGCAGAAGGCAGACACTTAACCAACTGAGCCACCCAAGGCGCCCTCCTCCAGCCGCCATCCCCAACTTTTTAAGTAAAAGTAATAAATTCCATTTTCCATTATTTAAACTCAGTCTTGCAGGATGAACTTAACTTTATATTAGAATAGTCAAAGACTGTATCAAAAATTTTATTACACTAACATTCATTTTAAAGCCTGGGTAGAACAGTTAAAACAGTATTATGATCATTTCCTGAATTCAATCATGTCTTTTATAATAGTCACAGATCATACTAGGTATGTGGAAGATCTTTAGAATGTATACCCAGTTACCAAGAGAATTACCAAGACATAAACACAACTCTATCTATTTTTTTAAATTAATAATGCTTCTAATTTACACATTCAATATGTAATCTATAATGAAATTGTTGGAAATTGGGTGATTCATTTATAATAAAAATGTGAGTCTAACAGCAACAAAGCCAGCAGCTACATAGAAAAATACTCAGTACCCTATATAAAATGTAAAATAAAAACAAAAAAAAACCCAGAAATAACAAAATATATACACACAGAGCCTATACAACATAGTTATTACTCCTCTTACATTGAGTTCCTATAAATCAATAAAATAAAGGTGAATATTTTAATAAATGTATAAAGGTCAAAAGCATTGATAGCTAACTTACAAAGTATAAAATGCAAATGTCCAGTAAAATTATAAAAATAAATCCAAATTTAATAAGGTGTAAATTAGAACAAAGAGGGTCCATTTAAAAAAAATGTTAGGCAAATATTAGTAGAGAGAAATGTATTTTTTTTAATCACACATTTAAAAGGGAGGGAGCATGAGTGACGGAGAGAGGCAGAGAGAGAGGGAGAAGCAGACTCCCCGCTGAGCAGGGACCCCAGTGTAGGGCTGGATCCCAGGACCCTGGGATCATGACCTGAGCCAAAGGCAAATGCTTAACACACTAAGCCACCCAGGTACCCTGAGAGAAATGTAGCTTTTGGAGAGAGGCAATTCTTGCACTGCTGGTGTGAGTATAAACATTGTTGTGATACTTTTCCTTAGCCTATAAGCAAATAAATGACAAAGATACAGAATAATCATCTCAGCATTTTTGTTGTTTGTGTGTGCTTTTTTAAACAGAACTTGGAGACAAGACAATACTCAACAATAAAGAACTGGAGAGCACAGACATGCACACAGAACATATAGGAGAAGATGCTGTGCATGTCAATGTATGTGTGTATATGGATATTCCTACATATATTTCTGGCTACGTTACTCAGAAATCATAATTTATATACAACAGACTTAGCTATCAATAAGGCACCATGCATCTAAATATTGTATAATAATCTGGTATGAAACTTGACCTCATTTATTTGCAATTAGAAGTTTACCCTTGATCACTATAAATTCTAGGTAATTCTATAACTGCATTTGCCTTAGGATCAGTAGTATACTTTACAAAATAATTTCTATATAGTCATTCTGTGTTGCTATACTTTGATGTTACAAATGTAAAAGTTCTTTGTTTCACCAAAAACTTCCATATAAAATGACAATTTTAAATTGTTGCCATTTTAAAGACAAGCTATTTTAGTTAGAATAATGCCACCTCTAAAACCAAAGAATTAAAGTCCTTTGCCTATTCTTAGTTTAATATTTATGGTTTGATCAAAGAACAAACAACTCCATTGTCTCACCCATCACATGCATTATTACCCTATCTGAAGATGAAAGCATTTTCTGAGAAAACTTTAAAGCCAAAAAGTAAAAAGGAGACCATAAGATTATTATGGTACAGGTTAGCAGATATAATCAGCATACCATACCTTTCCATTTCTACTGAATAACTTTTTTTTTTCAAAGATTTTATTTATTTATTTGACAGAGAGAGAGATCACAAGTAGGCAGAGAGAGAGAGAGAAAGAGAGAGAGAGAGAGAAGCAGGCTCCCCGCTGAGCAAAGAGCCCGATCCCAGGACACTGAGACCATGACCTGAGCCGAAGGCAGCGGCTTAATCCACTGAGCCACCCAGGCGCCCCTCTACTGAATAACTTTTAAAGAGCCTATGATTTTTCCTGTACTCTTTACAAGGTAAAAAGATTTATTCCAGAGGAAAAAATCCAAAGACTAATAAATAATTTTTTTGTTGCTGTTACACGAAAAAGCCACTGGAATGCAAATAGTAAAGCACTTTCTCCAAATTACATGATTCAAATTAAACTGACTAAAAAAAAATTCTGGGGTAATGATAAGATATGTGTTTGAGTACCCACCATGTATAACCATTATTAATTTACAATGATACATAGTGACCCTTCCTTTCTGAATCATACGTACCTTCCACGCCCCTTAACTTTTTAAAATTAGATTCTTTCTATGTGTTTTCCTTAGATATGTTTGATTTTATTGCTTAACCTTCAGCATAACATCTACAGTATTTCCATATTAACAAAACAATCTTACCAAAACATTTGAATTTAATGTCAGGAACCCTGTTATCTTAAATGATATCAGACTTTCCCACTCAACTGAACATCGTTTCTACAATTTCTCTCATTCATTCCTTCATTTATTTTCCCCAGATAAAATATTTGGGAGTCTCTCATTTGTTATTAAACTCATTTGCTGTTTAATACATTTGTTAAATAATAATTTTTCATAGGTTTCAGTTGTATCAATGGAATAATTAGACTAAAGAGTGATGCATCTAGATTTTAGTCAATGAGCAATATTCAAACACTGCTTTTAACCCCTATGTAATTAATCAAAGTAGAGTAAGGACATGTAAGGAATATTTCAACTTTGTAATTTCATACTAACAAACACAGGAGGCAATTCAGGCATAAGAATTTAAAGTGTCACGGTGATGTACTTTGAAAAGGACAGTGTAAACTAATCTCGAGCCACTGACTTACCCAAGACTGTGAGCTCTGCAGAGGCACTAATATTCTCATTTTTATATGTAACAACACAGGTGTAAGTTCCACTATCATCATCTGTCACATTGGAGATAAGCAGGTTGCTTCCACCCAATAGGGAATACTTTTTGGACCTGTAAGACACAGGCATATAAAATTAGAGATTAGATTAATGTACTAATATATATGTGTATATCAGGCAAGGTACTCAGAGGTTTAAATAAACTTTACAAAATCCGATTATAAAATTAGAAATAAACTATTTTGGGGGTCTTGGTAACACCACATTTATTGATCAAAAATCCATCCAAAATAAACCCCTCCCACTGGAAGTCTTTGTGCAGTGATCAAAGAAATTAAATAGATTAAACTTGGAACCAAGCTTAGTACTGAAAAGAAATTTACAGATATTCTGGTGCAATTCTCTCATTTTGGATCTGAGGACCACAAGCTACAGGGAAGTGATTCCCCACAGTGGAAGTCAATGTCTTGTGTCCTGACATCTGATTTAGTAACATTTGTATAAGGCCACATTTCATACTGTACCAAGAACATCTGGCTACATTCAGAGGATGTGTTTTGACATGCTAAAGCTGCAACCAGGTTTCTCACATGCTTTAATATTCTCAGAAGAATAGTGACACCATACCATATAGTGTTGTTATACAAATATAGAGGGGAAATGAAATTTAAAGATTTAAGTTATTGTCTGTGAACCTATCTCATCACAGAAAACAAATGTGTTAAAAAGGAGTACACCAGACCTCCAAATCAATGAAATTAATTTCTTAAGTGAAATCCATTTAATCAAAATGTTTCAGACTGTGTTCCATTATATTAAGAGTTTACTTTCTCAACTATGCCTTAAGATGAACTTCTATTAATTCAAAGCCAGCCATGTTCTCCTTTTGCCTTATCTTAAATAATTTGTTACATCTGCAGTGTGAAAGACAAAATTGGAGCTGAAAAAGTTGCACAGACCCTATAATGACATGCTATGTATTTCAATTTAGAAAACTTTAATTTCTTGGGGTACCAGCTGGTTCAGTCTGTTAAGCATCTGCCTTCAGCTCAGGTCATGATCCCAGGCCCTGGGATCGAACCCTGCATTTGGCTCTCTGCTCAGCGGGGACCCTGCTTCTCCCTCTCCCTCTGCCTGCTGCTCTGCCTACTTGTGCTTTCTCTCTGTCAAATAAATAAATAAAATCTAAAAAAAAAAAAAAAAAAAAGCTTTAATTTCTTTTTTTTTTTTAAGATTTTATTCATTTATTTGACAGAGATCACAAGTAGGCAGAGAGGAAGGCAGACTCCCTTCTGTCAGGAAGGGGCGGAAGCAGGCTCCCTGCTGAGAAGAAAGCCCGATGCGGGGCTCAATCCCAGGACCCTAGGATCATGACCTGAGCTGAAGGCAGAGGTTTTAACCCACTGAGCCACCCAGGCACCCCTTTTAAATTTTTCACTTTTTTTTTTAAATTACTTTCTTTTTTTTAAGGTTTTTTTTTGGTTTTTTTTTTTTTTTTTTTTAATTTTATTTGAGAGAGAGAGCAGGAGAAGTGGACAATCAGAGGCAGAAGCAGACTCTCTGATGAGCAGGGAACCCAATGTGGGACTCGATCCTGGGACTCCAGGATCATGACTTGAGCTGAAGGCAGTCACTTAAACAACTAAGCCACCTAGGTGCCCGAGAAAGCTTTAATTTCTTAATAAATATTTTATTCTCTATTCCACTTCCTTAAGATGATACCCTCCAAGGTTTCTTTGCTGAATAGTTTTTGGACAGGGAGTTTTCAACAGCAACGCTGGCTTTCTAAATTTCTTTTCTGAATTGATCCCATAGATTTTGACTCTGTTCCCCATCTCTTTATCCTATTGGGTAAATGTCTTTCATATATTATATAATGTCAAGGAATATGGGAGGAAATCAAGTATCATCAAAAACTCTAGTATTTCTAGGTACCTATATCAAATTAGAGAAGGGGAAACAGTGACATATACTTCACAAAAGTCTTCAATTTGTGATACCTGAGTTGGATGACTTCCTCTCCTCGTAACCAGGTAAAACTCGGGGGAGGATAGCCAGAAACACAACACTCCAGGATGGCATCTTTTCCTTCAATGGCTATCACATTGGATGGTCTTTGCAGAAAATATAGCTGCCTATGCAGTCCTGGGTCTGTGGAAAGAAAACACAAAATCACATCTTTTATGAAAAACACTGTAAAGATAAATGATGTAGCTTGAACCATTTTTTTTCCCCTTAATAAGACATGCTGATACAGAAGAAGGAAAGAAAAACTGGAAAGTTACCAGTGAAATTTATCAACTAGATTCTTAAAAGGTTTTTCCATCCCTAGTTTCTAGGATCATGATAGCATATTCTTAGCTGTTGATGACACCATGGTATAAGGCAACAGGCAGAAGCTCGTGACAAGTCACTCATGAAGGCTCCCGGACTTGTGGACTTCTCATTAGAGAACAAGACAATGCGATCAGTAATTTTTCTAAACATTATCTTCTGGAACTTTTTGGTATGTTCAATTTGTCTGCCTCTAATATCTATTCCACACCCTTCTGCTTTGTTTATTAAATCTGTGGCTGTTAGAAATGTGATAAATAACATACAAGGATTAAGTAGGTAGAGTGTAGAAGGTTCTGGGGAAAAAAAAAAAACCCTGCGGTCTTCAGAATAGACCTTACATTAAATTTTGTTTTGTATACAGTTAAGTTAGGCTGTTTCTAAGCCTTCTGTTTATTTTTTTAATTTTTAACAACATTGCAGAGAGTTTGTCCCTAAGCTGAGACTGTGAGTAGATGAAAAGCTCCTGTATCCTCCTACTTCACCCAATGCCTTTTCTAGTTCTATATAACCAACATTATTCATTCTACTTTTTAAATTTTTTTTAAATTTATTTGTTTATTTATTTCACAAAGAGAGAGCAAGTGAGTTGGGGTGCGGTGGGGGAGGATGGCAGGGAAGAGTTAGAGAGAGAATCCCAAGCAAGCTTCATGCTCAGTGCAGAGCCCAACCATGGGGCTCCATCTCACGACCCTGAGATCATGAACTGAGCAAAATCAAGAGGTGGATGCTTAAACAACTGAGTTATCCAGGCACCCAACATAATTCATTTTTACTAGCAGGCACTGAAATAGTGTCTTTTCAACCTAAAGACTACTCATTCCATTCACTTTAGAGCTCATTTGTTTCAAAGTTACTAAAGTTATATCAGATATAATAAGAAAAAAAATTACAAAATCTTAGCACAGTCAAGGTAAAACTCTGTGAGAGTTAAGAGCTTCTCTTCCACCTCCCATATATTTCACTCCTAAAGCCTGGGACACACCAACAGCAGTCTATGGTCAGGTGAGTTTGGAGGAAATCCTCCGAGCCATGGTGATATCTCTGACCTGTTTGCTGACTAAACTTCTATCACTCAAAGTTCACTTAAGATAAGATGCTATATTTCCACATCCCTATTAAAATCTGCATCCCTCTATGGAGGTTTGATTTAGGCTCTTTTCAGCTTAATGCATTAAATGGAATTAACATGTAATCTGTCATTTTTTAAATGCAAAGTACAATCTTGAAGAAAAGAAATGAGGCCATGAAATCTTGAAAACTAGTTTTGGGGTGGACAGAGAATTGCCAAGGAAAATTAGATCCAACTGTCATAGTGGGAGCCATAGAGGAGCAGAGAGGAAGTAAGGTAGATCTGGGATACCTTTTAACCCTGCTGTTAATCCTCGTTGGCCTGACCCAACTCCACACAGCTTGATTCTAGGTTAATAAAACAATTTTCCAGTTAATGGTTGGAATGGTAATTGTCATTCAAAGTGTGGAGAAAGACAAATTCACACTTTCTCGGTCTTCTCACATCTCTTTCCGGTTGTTACAGCAACAAAAATAAATACTCTTCACAATGAAAATATTGAAAGAATTTTTGAAATGTGTTAATCCTTATTAAGCCAATATTGTAGGAAAAGGTGTCTCAAACTTTAAAAAAAATTGCTGGTGGTATGTGACATTTCCCTTTTTGAGAGTGACTTTTCAAATCAAATAAGAATAGTTTGAAGGATAATGTTGCTTATCAATAAATTTCCTGAAATGAACAGTTCCCAAAATCTATATTTACAAATAGCTATCTTCATAATCGAGTGTTATCTATTTGTATGCTTTACTTCTACCACCTGTTCTCAGCAGAATGTTCCAACTGCATATATTGCATAATACTATACTATTCTACACACACACACACACACACACACACACACACACACACACACTATAATAATACTAGCCAAACATCAAGTAAGATCTACTTAATTTGATCTTATGGCTAAAAGGAAATTTACCTGGGGCCTATGTCCAATACTACTTATTTATCCATAAAAGAGCCAATAATTCAACCAACTATCACACTTTCTTTTATTAGAAAACAAAATCAGCACAAGTATTTTTGCTTGTTATTTTTCTATTTTAATTTACTAAAAAATTGACAAGTAGGGAGTTTCCATATACCAGTTCCCCATCCCCTGAAATTGTTTTCCTTATGATTAACATAGGGAATGATTAGATGAGGGTGGTGCATTTGTTACAATTAATTAAGTGATATTGGTACATTATTATAAACTAAAGTCAATAGTGTACATTAGGTTCACTCTTTGTGTTATATAGTTGCATGGGTTTTGAAAAATGCACAATGTCATGTGTTCAGCATTACACTGTCATATAGTTTCACCGCCCTTAAAATCCCCTAAGCTTTACCTATTCATCACTCCAGCACCACACCTAACTCAAAGCCCAGGAAATTACTGGTTTCTCTACTATTTCTATAAGTGTACCTTTTCCTATAGCTGGAAATAAAGGATACTCCTATGGCATATCCTACAGTTAGAATTATACAATATATCATCTTATGATATTGATTTATCTCACTTAGTAATATGCCTTTAGGTTCCCTCTATGTCTTGGGGGGGTTCAGTTGTTCATTTGCTCTTCTTGCTGGATAGTATTCCCTTATATGGATATACCACAGTTTATTTATCCATTCACCTATGGAAGGATACCTTTATTACTTAGTGATTCTGAACAAATGTGCTGTTAAGTGTCCTTGTGCAGATTTTTTCTGGTCATAATTTTTCAACTCAATTGGGTAAGTATCTTGGAGAGCAAAACTATGTTCCTTTGGAAGAAACTCCCAAACGGTCTTCCAAAGTACCTTTGCAATTTTGAATTCCCAAGAGCAATGAATGTCCTGTTACTCCTCATTCTCCTAAGCATTTGGTATGGCCATTTTTCTTAGACTTTAGCCATTTTATTTTATTTTTTTTAAGATTTTATTTATTTATTTGACAGACAGAGATCACAAGTAGGCAGAGAGGCAGGCAGAGAGAGAGAGGAGGAAGGAGGCTCCCCGCCGAGCAGAGAGCCCCACATGGGGTTCAATCCCAGGACCCTGTGATCATGACCCGAGCTGAAAGCGGAGGCTTTAACCCACTGAGCCACCCAGGAGTCCCTGGATTTTAGCCATTTTAATAGGTGTTTAGCATTATAATTTTTCTAACTTGCAATTCCCCAATGACACACAATCTTGAGCATATTTTGTATGCTTGGATTCCATATTTTAGATCCTTTTCAATAAAGTGTCTGTTCAGATATTTGCCTATTTTTTTTAATGGATATGTTTTCTTATCATTGAGTTTCTGGTGCTCGTATATTTTGCATACACATCCTTTATCAGATGTGTGTTTTGCAAATACTTGTCTGTGGCTTGTTTTTACTTTCTCTTAACATTGTCTTTTGCAGAGCAAAAATTATTAATATCACAACTTACCAATTTTTCCTTTCATGGATTATTTTAAAGGTCTAAAAATTCATTGTCAAACCTAAGACCACCTGGATTTTCTCCTCTGTTATCTTCTAGAAGTTTTTATAGTTTTATGTTTTATGTCGAGGTCTATGATCCACTTTGAGTTAATTTCTTTAGAAAAGAACTTCTGTGACTAGAGGTTTGTTTTGTTTTGTTTTGCTGCATATGAATGTCCAATTGTTCCAGCACCATTTGTTGGAAAGGCTATCCTTTCTCCATTAACATGATTTTTTCCCTTTGTGAAAGATCAGTTGACCATCTAAGTGGGTCTATTTCTGGGTGCCCTATTTTGTTCCATGGATCTGTTTGACTATTATTTTGCCGATATCATAGAATCTTTACTGTTGTAGCTTTCTAATGAGTTTTGATGTCAGGCAGTGTACATCCTCTGACTTTATTCTTCGGTATTATTCTCACCTTTCCAGGTCTCCTGTCTTCCCATAAATACTTTCAAATCAATTTATGAAGATACACAAAATAACTTTAACTCACTGGGATTTTGTCTTTGTCTTAAAATATCAGTAGTTCAGGCATCACTGGGCTCATATTGCCACAGAATAACCATTGGCTATACTTTTTTAGACAGAGCATATATATTCCAGACAACTTCAACTTCTGCCTGGCCCATTTCAGCTATGTTTATTATCTTTGTAGCTTCATTGGAGGCATTAGGGTTTGTGGCCTGATGATAGGTATAAAAATGTCAGCTATTGGCAGAGAAATTTGGTCTTATTTCTCCAAAGATAATTCTCTATAAATATATAACCTCATAAAGTCTAATATTATGGAAGTTCCCAAGAAAGCTAATAGAAATTTTCTTTAAAAGTTAATAGTTTATATGTTTCACAACATTGTGATGGATTAAGTAAGCTCACAAATTGTTTGAGTCCTCTAATCCAGAATGGAGGATCTAGTTCCTCAGGATTTAAATCTGGCCTGACCCTATGTTGTGCTTTGGGGGCGGGGGTCATACTGTATGAGCTCTGGAGTCAAGACCTCAAGAGGTCTTACAGTTTCTGTCATGACTCTTTCTGAGACCAGCATCTTAGTCTAGTGACCTGAAGGCACATGGAGGATAAATGAGTCCCCCAAACCAAAACCAGCACCAATTGACAGACATGTGACTGAGGCCATCTTGAACCTTCCACTTCAGCCAAACATACACAAGGGAGTCAAGTGAATCCAACAGAGGAACTGCTGAGATACACTGCAGGATTATAAGAGAGAATAAATTATTTCAAGTCACTAAATTTTGGAGTATTTTCTTATGTAGCAATAGCTATTTGCCTTATTTTTCTTCCTTAAA